ACTTATAAGCCATTGAGTGCATTTGGTCAAATTGTGGGCCTGTGGAGGGGGGAAAGAGCCAATGCGTCCCTTCCCTAGCTTGCGCTGCACATAGAAACAGAAATATTATATTTGCAAAAAACTGAAGCAAAGTGAGAGGAAATATAAAAAGCAATAAAGCAGTACCTGACCAGAAAGGAGTGGTAGAAGGGGGGACAAAGCTGTAGTCTGGAGAAGTTACAAAAGAAAACCCACAGAACAAAGAAGGGGCTTAGAGAAAGAAAGAAAGAAAAAGAGAGAGACAAGCAAGATGACATTGAAATATTGGTAAAGTAATAGTGAAACACAAGTCATCATATTACTGAAGTTTTCAATAACAAGAAATTGATGTCTTGTTTACTCCCTCAGCCTTACAAATTTGTACTTCCGTTCCCTCTTGCCTGAGCAGAGGCACAGAGGTTTGGCATCTGCTTCTGCTCCTCAACCCGTAGTTCCCTTTCCCCACTCCCTCCTTTATCTTAGCATTATTTTGTGCCTGTGCAAAAGTTGACTGTAGGGCTGCTTTCGCCAGCACATCTCATGCCAGCAAAAACGATGTACTATGGTTGCTAAAAATGGCCATTGATAAAAGCAGTCATGGCATACATGTCCCACTTGGTATTGTGAGACATACCATGCAGACAGCAAATGTGTCTAGCACTGTATGTACAAAACCAGCTTCAGTGTCATTACAGGCTAAATTGAAAAAGGAGGCCTGTCCCCTTACAAGTACACAACATGGTGATATTTTAGTAAGTGCAGTTTCACTTTCTACCATCACGATGCTGCAACAACACAAGAAACATTTGAGTTTATTCGCAGCAGGGAGGAAGATCAGATGTTCTCTTTCTCCCTGGAGACCATATCTGTCCTCATTCACCCACCTTATCTTACATAATGTACTAGCTCAGCAGTCTTTAATTTGTTCAGCTTGTAGACACTTTTGGAATTCTGAGAACTGGTATTGGGTACCACTGTACAATGGTGCCATGGGGGGGGGGGGCTGGAGTCAAATCAGGACGTTCCAAGCAAGATATGCCCCTACAATGGATGTAGCTGTTTCTGAAAAACACAAAAGTGATGCCGCCTATGCCCAAGAGGTGGAGAAAAGGCAGCACTGGCTGTTTTCTTTGGGGGGGGAGCAAGGGGACACTAAGAAACACACATGGAGGCACCATGGCACCCTCAGACACCACAGTGGGAATCACTGTACGAGCACTTATGGTGTGGGGAAGGAATATACCAGAAAGCAGAAGGAACTTTGTCTCTAAAAAAGCAATAGTGAGACATAGACCCACTCAGCACCCAGGCACCAAGGAGGTGCACGAGTTATGGATAAAATTATCACAACATACTTCCTCATGGCTCAAATACATCACAGAGAGATCCAGCATGACTAAGGGTGCAGCCCACTCAACAGAAATAATTAGCCAGCTCTTGACAACCTTTCTGCCTAATTCATCGCTGCATGCAATCTTTAAGAGTCTGGACCCTTCTGTTTTCCAGATGCCAACTTCAAGTTAAACGATGGAAAATTCAGGAAGCATACCAGAATGTTTATCCTTTCAAGAAATCCCAGGAAGAAGGAATATACCCCAACATAGCAGTAAGCATTCCAGTAAACATTGTAGCGTAAAATTAATTTGTCCTTTAACTTTTAACTAAAATGTTGAAATAATCAGACATAATCGGAACACAGGTGTCAAACTGGCTCTTAGTGGCTTACATCTAAAGCATTTGATAGCCCTAGTTCAAAAAATCTAACGGGTGCTCAATAGCATCATTCTATTAATTGTAGACTAAGGTCCTGTTTAACGTTGTGCAGTATTTCATGCCAGGCTGTTTTCTGAATTTGAAAATTCAGTTCCATATGCACGTTCTACTGCAGTTCTTCGATTACAAGTTCTTGACCAAGTGCCTACCCTTCTCTGTTTCTGCTTATCCCATAAGCAAGAGAGAGGAAAAACACCCTGACCCGGATAGCCCAGGCTAACCTGATCTCTTCAGACCTCAGAAGCTAAGCAGGGTTGGCCCTCATTCATACTTGGATGGGAGACCACCAAGGAAGTCCAGGGTCGCTATGCAGAGGCAGGCAATGGCAAACCACCTCTGAACATATCTTGCCTTGAAAACCCTATAGGGTTGCCATAATTCAGCTACAACATGATGCCACTTTCTACCACCGAAAGAGTAAATAGCTCTCATACACTTTTTGTGAGAACATCCCTAGCCTTTCCATAAGCTGTATACACTCTTCTGCCTTCCTGCAGAGCCATGTAAATAATACAGCCTTTAATGACTGCAGTCATGAGTCAAACCACAACTCTGAATCAGAGTTCAATAAAGCTTCTTAAAAGCCCCTCTGGATCACATTGCTTCTTCCTTACTGAATCTTATCAGAGATGTGTACAAGCATAATACCCTTCAGACAAGCCAACTGGGCTTTCGTAAAAGGAAAATAGGAAAGATTACCCTGGAAATTAGGGATTTAAATAACCACATAGCTATAGATAATGCTGATGATGAGTACAAAGACAAGAGCTTTTAGAAATCCTTTCAATGGGGTTTTTTATATGGCATAGAACAAAAGAAGGAAACCTTTCAAGAACCAGATACTGTTCACAAGATATGAAATAAATAGAATATACACATTGTTAATTGTCCCAGTGAAGTTATGTAAACAGTGAAACAACCAAAGGACTAGCTGCAATGACAAGGATGATGTTTTTATTTTATTCAGCTCTGCCCCCCCAAATGTAAAAATGGTGGACATCTGGACTTTGTTTAGTTGATTAAAGAGCTTATTGATTGAAATACACAGAAACCATTAAGTCAAAGGATACAAGATTTTTCTAAAAAGGGACCAATGCAGCAATCTCCTGAATCAAATGATTAGCTAAAATGAAACTTTAACATGACCAAGTCCTTTTCAGAGAACACAAATTATTCATTGATCAGTTTGTCCTATCACCAGCTTACCCTGTGGATTCTAGAACCTTAATCAGAAAACTGTACTGAAGGTTATTTCAGGAATGGCATTAATAAAATCATTTTGCTATTGCCTTAATGAATAGGCTAATCGAATTCTGAGTTAGGATATGTCCAAATGTCTGGTAGCTCTTCATCAATAGCAGCAGTTAAGCACTTTTGCATTCTGACTGTGGCTTTCATACCCTTGCAAACACACCTACACAGAGGTTCCTGTGTCTTATTCAATAATACGCTTTATGCATTTGGAAGAGTTTCCAAAAGTTTGCAGTATGGGAGGCTGCTGCTGGGGGACAGGGGTAGGGAAAACAGAAGACATGAAAGTTTTATTTGGGGTGCCAGTGCCTGCAGGTGAATTATTTAATACTCTAAGCCTTGCAGTATCAATTCACATACATCCTACTGTACCTCAAGATGCAATGTCAACATTAACACTGCAGCAGTATGCAGAACATGTACTTGCTAGTCTAAGAGGAACACTTGTGATATCTGTGCCTGCTCCCACTGGTGAATAGTTAGTCTAAAAATAAAACACCAGGCAAAGCAAAGAAGCTGTGCACCCCACAGAAAAGAGGGATGCAAGACAGAGATACACGAGGCTATAAAAAAGAACATGGGGAAGAAAAATGCACATACGCTAACTAAACACTGAAACAGAGCCTCAGAAGGGATGTGATGCAGCAAACCAGAAACTCAAATGAGTTCATTACAAAAGAAGGAAGACTGCTTGGTAGGAAAAAAATTAATAAGGACAAGAGACAGGAAAGGAAAGAAAAAGAGATAAAAGAAGTTAAGACAGTTTCCATTGGTAAGGCTTTTGTATTTGAGCTTCTCCTGCTATTTATGTGAAATGATTGTGAAAGATTGCTGAGCGCTGAGGAAGAAAGATGCAATGCAAATAGGCAGTCCGACCAATGTGAGGCTTCACATGTGCATTGCAAGGTCATTTCATATTTGTGTGTGACTACATCCCTAGTTTTCCCTAGAAGCCTATTTTTCAAATAAGTTAAAGAAAAACAATGAAAGCAGTGAAGACCTAAAAACAAGGGATAATGCAATCAAACCTAGAGCCCCTCTCCTTGGTAGGTTGCATTAGTTAACAGTAGGATTCACATTTTCCCCTTATTATCAGGCATTGAGCATAACGTGGCTATACCATATTTCAAAGTACAAACTTTAGCTTCTGCAGTGGAAGGTCAAAATTATCTATAGACCATTTGGCAGTTTTCCAATGTACTTCCATTTATCAACAAACTATTATTCATACCTGGTCCTTTTCCAATGCTAAAAAGATTTTATATATAATACCAATCACCCCAGCCAGCTGCAAGGCAGATGTGTGCATGGGTGAGTATGTGCACATGCTTCAAGAGAAAGAGTCACTATCCAAACAACATCAACCATATTGTTTAGTTTAGTTTCCATCCAACCAAGCACACAGAACCATAACTAGACACTGAGTAGAGACCTCTGTCATGGCATATGTAAGGGAAGGAGCAAATCAAATGTTTCCCCTTATGCTTTTTAGATGTTAGGAGGAAGCCAAGTCTTCAACCAAACATCTAGTTTGGCCCACAAAAAATCCTATTTTGAAAGAATGATGAGTAGAATTAGAGAGAGAATCCGTATGAATTTAAGCGTCTTCACAGAACTTCTGGTTTGTAGTCTGTGGTTTTAAATCACACAGATAATTTGCTTGCATGCCAAATGCAAGATTAGAATTACATGTTTATTAATTCATGTAGCTGAAAACAGCACATTCAGTGAAAAAACGTCTGTTTACAAATCAATCACTCACTTACATTTTTAATAGATGTTTGAACAGTGATTTGATTTAAACATAGCCAGCCAGGAAATCTAACTAGACCTGTTCATAAACCTGTCAGCAGATCTAATTCTGCTTAGCTGCAGAAAAATCTAGCTAAATGCATTATCATATTAATTGGTTATATGTCAAGAAATTCAAAATGAAGATTTTTTTTTTTAAAAAAAACTTATTGCTGTGCCTTTGATATTAAAAAGTAAAGCTTACAGTTGCTAGGTGGTCGGTTACTCCTTTGGTCAACTGAATGTTCATATTCCTTATATGGGTACTGGAGAGTTGTGTCCAAACTTCTGAAGCCTTCTTTGAGAGAGTGGTGCTTGTAGTACTCCACAAGTTCCTTCAAGAAGAAGAAAAAATAAAACACTTTGACCCTTCAGTTTGTGCTTCCTCCCCCTCCTGTAGCGCTTGGACACAATACTTTTAATGCAACCTTATTTTAGAAGTAGATGTTCTTAGTCAATACCAAGGGGGCTTAGTAATGACAGTAATGCTAGCTTCTGTTACTTCTTATTGAAAGAAAGCTTGTTGCCATTTGTGATGAAAAAGAGAGGGGGAAATCACAAAAGAAAGGTGTATCAGTAGTATGAAGTGTAAGAGCTTGTTTCACAAAGAGATTCTGCATTAGTTACATTCAGAAATATAAAGGTAAGGGTGTTGATCCACAAAAGACTTGAGCCTAACTCTCATAAACAACAGAGGGCTATGGTGTTTATTTTAAATATTTATACCGAGCCTTTCCCTCGTGGCTCAAGTCAGCTTACAATTCCAAAGTAAAAGTATGGATACATTCTAAAGTAAAACAATATACCCTATTAATGCCTCCTGCCCCCAAGAAAATGCCTGCAGCTTAAACCAAATTAAAAATCCTAGCAAATAAGACAACCTTACAGTGCCTCCTGAAAACATCTAAGGATGGTGCCTTCCTTAGGGATCCTGTTCCACAAGGTGAGAGCCATTATTGGAAAAGCATCTAATAGATGCTAGGCAGGATATTTTAAGGTGACAGCTAGGCGGCCATAACTGGGACGAAGGCACAGGATGGGAGAGATGGTCCTTCAGAAATGTGGGTCTTAGGTCATGAAAGGCTTTAAAGGTCATACCTGGCATATGAATTCAACTTGGAAACAAACTGGCAGCCAAAGTAGCTATTTTAAAATAGGCAAGATGTGTTCCCATAAACTAGCCCCTGAGAATAACTGGGATGCCACCTTCTGAACCAGCTGCAATTTCTGGGCTGTCTTCAAGGACAGCTCCATGTAGAACATGTTCCAGTAATCCAAAAGCAAGGTTATAAAAGCATTCATTAGCATGGCCAGGTCAGCTGAGTCTAAGGATAGAGAGGGGTGATGAACCAGATTGCAGTTGACAGAAAGCATTCCTGGCCACTGAGCCAACCTGTGCTGGCATCACTTCTGCCTTGTCTGAATCCAAGTTCAACTTGTTCTTCCTGAGCCTCTTGACTATGCAGAGGTGTCAAAGAAGAAAAAAAAACTTCCTTTGCTACCACCACAACTGCCCTACAGGCCTTCAAATGAGCCAATAAAGGCATATCAGTGATCTGTCCGATTCAAGTGGAGTCTTTCACCAATGATGTTCTATCCATCTCCCAATCCATTCCATACCTCCCCCCAGCATCCTCATTCACTGTGAAGCCAGCAGAGACTGGAAGAGAACACCAAGGCATGCCTCTGACTATTGCCTGACTAGAGTCTCCTGGAATCTAACTCGATTCACTGCAGGTGGACCTTTCTATTGGGTTTGCTGCCCCTGCAGGACGGAGGCAGCAAGTCCATTCGCCAAGGAGGCTTATCCTTAATACCAGTTCAAAGCCTACCTCTGTTAGCTCAGCCAGACAGTAAACCAGCAGGATTCCCTACTCATCCTTTGAACCCAACACAAGGTGCATACAGTCAAGACTGGCTTCTGTCTGTATCTACTGATGGTGAATGACTCAAGAAAAATAACTGCTACACCATCCTCCCCAGTCAAGGATGGTGGAAGATTTTAAAAAACCAGTTTACACTATCTGTGACAAAACAACCACATTAGAATCCTCCAGTCAGGTTTCATTCAAGCTACCCGCTCTTCATACAATAAGCCAGATATTAGAGATATCTTATTTCTCAAACCTGACACCAAGGCTGAAATTTGACCGTAATATTTCAGAATGCACCTTTTGCTCCTTTTGTGTGTAAAATAAAATAAATCTCTGCATTCCCAGTGACATGCTAGAGCAAATCTTCTGAACATTTCTATTCCTGAAATGATACAGTCTGAAATGATACAGTTCAGAAATAAATTTAGCTCCTTATCATATATATATATATGTGAAAATTAAGACCTTAAACTCTGATGGTTTCCTGAGTGTGACTTTGTGGTTGTTGGCATGCTTGTTTCAGGCATGTGTAAAGACATGACATGAGCCACATGATTTTGGTTTCTTGGCCAGTAAGCCATGCAAATGATGCCTGGGCTCTTGAAAAGTCTGCTGTTGGTGTGGTTTTTAATCATTCCCAAAACCAACCCACAAGGATGAAAATCTTTACATGTACCCAGACCAGTGTGTGAGTAAACATGCATACAGTAATAACCACACCAGAAAAGGCACATAAAGGGAGCCTGAAATAACCTCTGAGAGTCTCTCACCTGCTGTTTATGTGAACCTGTGCCTGCTAGAACACCTCATTGCTGGCCTGTAGCTACAGTGGGGCATTTTGGGGCTCTGCCCCCTTTCTTAAACCCACAGCCCCACAAGTTTTGCTTGAGAAAAAGCTTTTAAAAAAACTTTTGACACCTTTTTAAGAAGATGTGCATGCCGAGCTGCACCAAGACCGGACCCCAGGCAAGTAGGAAGTCCTGCAACAACACACAACTTCGCCAGGCCTGCCCTCTGCCCTCCCCAGCTGTTCCCTTTCCCACGCCAGCCAGGTGCTTGCTCGAGCAGTTGGGCTTGGTGGCAGCTGCCTGGCCTTTAAAAAAAACTTTTTGAAAAGACATGCTTGCTCAAGCTGTGTAATAGAAAACAAGCGTTTGGGAAGGGGACTTCTTCCCCTCATCCTTTCCTTCCTTCTCTCCAAGCTGCCTCCCCCCTCCCCTAGTTTTCTCCCCCTCAACCAGCTTTCTCTTCTTGGCTGTTGGAGAGAGAGAAAGGACTGTGAGGTGAATCTTTTCGCTCTCTGCCCTGCTGACGCTCCCAGACAAGCTGGCCTTTTTGCTGGGGTGGTGAGGTGTGGGGGTGGTGGAGAGCCAGCCAGGCTTTATTGGAACAAGCCAGAGATGCTATTTTGTTCCATCAGCCATGGCTTATATCTCTTTTGAGAGTCAAAGCTCCCTTTGCAATGCTTTTAAAATCATCTAAAGAGCTGACGGAGATTCCAGCCAGTCAATGTATGTATGAGTGAATGTGTGTGGCTGTTTTATTTATTTTTAGTTTTGTGATGTCATGCCCCACCAGTTCCCCCAGTGGCCCCCCCATTGGGAACAGGGAATTTCCTATGAGGGCCTGCCTTATAGGAGAGAAGCATTTGCAATTCAAAGGTGTGTTCTGGCCAATGTAAATGATTTCAACAAAAACTGCTTTAAATTTGCATGTGAAGATAACTTTGCACTAACCATTTCCAAACACTGGCTACAATCGTGTGAAAAGTAAACACTTTAAGTCCAGTTAATCTCTACTGGGAGAGATTTAAGTACCTGTTTAACACACCAATTGGAATCAATGGGACTTAAAAGTGCTTAACTCTGAGGACTGGATTGTGCTTATTGCCTCCAGTTCTGAAATGCCAGTCTTCCGTTCTGAACAGATATATGATCTATAGGGACTCTTATTGGCACAATAAACCTTTTACAACCTCTTCAGAGGGATTTTCCAGCACTGAAGGTGTCAGAACATTCCTCATGTTTTACATTTATCTCAACAGTGTAGAATAGTATCTTCCCTGTTCACTGCAATCAACCATAGTAACAGAAATACTACCAAAGTCCATGCAGTCTGTGTAGGCAAGAGGAATGCCTCTTCTCCTTTAGCAATATTCAAATCTGCACCTGCCGTGGAATATACTGGGTGTCACTGGGCCAGTCAGTCTCTCTCTTAGCTAGACTACCTCACAGGGTTGTGTGAAGATAAAATGGAGGAGAGGGAAATCATGTACTTACTGTGTGACTTTCTGCCTGTCTGTCTCATTAATCCACTCCATAGGGTTGTTGTGATTGTAAAAAAGAGGAGGGAGAAATTATGTACTTACTGGGTGGCCTGGACAAGGCACTCAGCCACTCTCTCAGCCTAATCTGCCTCAGTGTTGTTGTGAGGGTAAACTGGAGTAAGAGAGAATCCTGTACAGTGCCATGGGTTCCTTGGAGAAAGAGTTTTATTAAAAGGCACTAAATAAACAAACAAGTTTTACTCTGTACCCGATACTTGCCATTGGCTCAGGACTCAGAATATCGGCTGCAGATTTCTAGGCCCCAAAAAGCTCCTGTCTCCCTGGTCAAAAGAATATTTGCCTCTTTCAGTGAGTTAATTTAAATGTCTGCTTTTCAAACATTCCTAGAAGGAACACGTACCTGCATCATCTTTTCTCTCTTCTGTTTTAAATAGAGTGAAATGCAACATTTGTTTACAATAATGTTTCTAAGGGCCAAAACTAGACCTGATGGCAGCCACGGGGTCAACCCATGGCCATCAGTGCCATTTTAGAAGAGAATTTGGTATTTTAAAAATTGCCATAGGGCAGCAACAACAGGCAATTTTCTCCCTCCATACCTTTTAACAGTGCTAAAATAGCCAATGTGGTGTAGTGGGTAAGAGCAGCAGACTCTAATCTGGAGAACTGGATTTGATTCCCCACTCCTTCATATGTCTCATCATTAGAGTTGCAGTTGCCAGTGGTGGACTGGAAAATACCTGGAGATTTTTAGGGGGGACTGAGGAGGATGTGGTTTGGTGAGGAGAGAGACTTTAACAGGGCAAAATGCCATACAATCCACCTTCCAAAGCAGCGATTTTCTCCAGGTGAACTGATCTCTGTCACCTGGAGATCAGTTGTAATGAAGAAGAAGAGGAGGAGGAGGAGATTGGATTTATACCCCAACTTTCACTCAGAGTCTCAAACCCTTCACTTGGAGTCTCAGAGCAGCTTACAATCTCCTTTCCTTCCTCTCCCCACAACTGTCACCCTGTGAGGTTGGTGGGGCTGAGAGAGTTCTTTGAGAAATGCCCTTGAGTGAACAGCTCTGAGAGAACTGTGACTGACCCAAGGTCACCCAGATGGCTGCATGTGGAGAAGTGGGAAATCAAACCCTGTTCTCCCAGATTAGAGTCTGCACTTCTAACCACTA